TCTTCCTCTTCCTCTTCCTCTTCTTCTTCCTCTTCTTCTTCCTCTTCTTCTTCCTCTTCCTCTTCCTCTTCTTCCTCTTCCTCTTCCTCTTCCTCCTCCTCTTCCTCCTCCTCCTCCAACATAGCTACCCACCTGAATCTGTAAATAATGTAAATAGGTAAAAATAAAACACTGTCTGTGAGAGTCCAGGAGGGACGCATCTCTCAGACTGCCCAGGATACCTTCCCTTTGCTCTGCACTCTACCATCCTTTTCCAAAGCTGCTAAACTGTCCTGCACTTCCAGGAAAACATTTTGCATGCCTAGGCTTATCAGGAGGACATACTTTTGTGTTTGTGTGTGTGTGGGGGGAGATACGATGTCTTTCATTTGACAAAAGTATTTTTCGTACGTTTTCTGCAAGGTCCTTTGCCTGTCTTGTATGTGGGCAGCTTGGTTTTACTGCTGGCAAAACCCCGTCCACTTTACTGTGAGATACCTTGGGGGGGGAAGAGAAGAGATATTGGAGTGCCATGGGAAAGACGAGAAAACCGCAATAAAAGAACTTACATAAGAACATCGGAGCAGCCAGTGTTGGATCAGGCCAGTGGCCCATCCAGTCCAACACTCTGGGTCACACAGTGGCCAAAAATTACCAGGTGCCATCAGGAGGTCCAGCAGTGGGGCCAGGCCACTAGGAGCCCCTCCCACTGTTGACCCCCCTCCCAGGCACCAAGAATACAGAGCATCACTTGCCCCAGACATAAGAACATAAGATGTTGGATCAGGCCAATAGCCCATCCAGTTCAACACTCTGTGTCACACCGTGACCAAAAATACTAGGGGCCATCAGGAGGTCCAGCAGTGGAGCCAGGACACTAGAAGCCCTCCCATTGTCGCCCCGAGAACCAAGAAGACAGAGCATCCCTTGCCCCAGACATAGTTTTCCATCTATACCTTGTGGCTAATAGCCACTGATGGACCTCTGCTCCATATTATCCAATTCACTCTTGAAGCTGTCCATGCTTGTAGCCGCCACCACCTCCCGTGGCAGTGAATTCCATGTGTTCATCACTCTTTGGGTGAAGAAGGACTTCCTTTTATCTGTTCTGCTCAGCAATTTTATTGAGTGCCCAAAAGTTCTTGTTTCGTGAGAAAGGGAGAAAGCTCCTCCATTCTCGACCTGTTCTCCCATGCAATAATCTCGTAAACCTCGATTGTGTCACCCCTCAGCCATCCGTTTCTCCAAGTTAAAGAGCCCCAAGCGCTTTCACCTTTCTTCATAGGGAAAGTGTTCCAACCTTCAAAGACCTTGAAAGAACCATAGCTGGTAGCGGTCTAGCAAGAGGTCAGTAGAGCAGTGACTGGGGAGGGGGGGGAGAGTGCTAAGAGAAAAAAGTCGCCAAACTGGAAAGATAGGAAGAGCAGAATTGGGAGAATTTCTTACAAGGAAAAAGGTTATCTCTTGGTTGATTGACTGCTGGGAAGCGATGAGGTGTTTCGACTCTAAATACCAGCCAGCCTTGGTGTTTCGTCATGCCGGCCACATGACCATGGAAACGTCTTCGGACAGCGCTGGCTCTTCGGCTTGGAAACTGAGATGAGCACCGCAACCCTAGAGTCGGACTCGACTGGCTTTCGAGCAAGGGAACCTTTACCTTTAAACCCCAGGCTAGTCAGATCTTGGAAACTAAGTAGGGTCAGCCATGGCCAGTATTTGGATGGGAGACCACCAAGGAATACCAGGGTGACACGGAGGCGCAGGCAACGGCAAAACCCCCTCGGAACATCCCTTGCCTCGAAAACCCTACGGGGGTCGCAGTGAGTCCGCCGCGACTTGACAGCCAGTCTCTATAAAGCCGATTTGCTGCTGGGAAGGAGAACCCAGCATTTGCCGAGCCCCGGACTCTGAAACTCGTACAGGGGAAAAAAATCTTTCTTCCTGTATCCTGTCCCCTGACGGGCAGCTGGCTCCTTCCCCACCTAACCTCCGTCCGGCCTCGTTCAGCGCGATGGAAAATCACAACAGCTGGCGATGCGGCTTTCTCCTCGGAACCCCGGCAGCACCGTCTGCACGCATTCGGGGAGCTTCCTTTCCTTGTCTCGGTTCCCAAGATGACCTCCTCTCTTTCTTTTGTGCACCCCTCTCAGGGGGTCAGTAGGGAAACAGTGGAATGTGTATGAAATACTTTCAGGGCCTCCCCCTTCCCAAGTGGAACCTGGACGGCGTCTCGGCCCCCCCCCCCTTCCTAGCAGCGCCTCTGTTTTCTCCCGCAGGCGGTGCCTGTCACCCGAGCAGCCACCACCAATGCCTTGCGCCGAGGAGGGGGGCGGGTTGGGTTAGGGGACGGATGAAGCGGGTGACTCAGGGCTGATTTTCCTGTCTTGTGCCTCACGGGCATCTGGGTGCCTAGGCGGCTTGAGCGCCTCTGCTCCCCCCCCCCCCGTGGCGCCCCCCCCCCCCGCGAAAGGAGGATCTCTCACAGGCTGCCGATAAGAGCCTGGCGCTCTGGGAGCCATGGGGACGGGAGGGAGTTGGTTCCTTGGGCTCCTCAGACGGAGGAGAGCTCCAAGAACACCAAGCCCTTGCTTCTGCAACCCAGAATGCTTCCTTTATCATCGACTCGCCAGCAGCTCTGCTCACAGAAGGATTATCCGCGCTCGGAGGTTATCATGAAGCGGGAATGGAGGAGCGGCCCTGTGCAGTCAGACCAGTCTGGCATCCCGTCTCACACAGCGGCCGGCCAGTTCCTCTGGAGGGCCAACAACAAGGCGTAGAGGCCGAGGCTTGCGGGGTAAAAATGCCTAAATAAATAATAAATAAAAACATCAGAAGAGCCCTGCTGGATCAGACCAGTGGTCCATCTAGTCCAGCAACCTGCATTACACAGAGGCCAACCAGTTCCTCTGGAGGGCCAGCAACAGAGCAGAGAGGCCGAGGTCTTACTAAGAACCTCAGAAGAGCCCTGCTGGATCAGACCAGTGAGGGTCCATCCAGTCCAGCATCCTGTCTCACAAAGTGGCCAACCAGTTCCTCTGGAAAGCCAACAACAGAGCCAGTTTGGTGTAGTGGTTAAGTGTGCGGACTCTAATCTGGGAGAACCAGGTTTGATTCCCCACTCCTCCGCTTGCACCTGCTGATGTGACCTTGGGTCAGTCACAAGCTCTGGCACAGCTGTTCCTGAAAGAGCAGTTTGTGTCAGAGTTCTCTCAGCCCCACCCACCTCACAGGGTGTCTGTTGTGGGGAGGGGAAGGGAAAGGAGTTTGTAAGCCGCTCTGAGACTCCAAGTGAAGGGTGGGGTATAAATCCAATCTCTTCTCTTCTTCTTCTTCATAGAGGCCGAGGCCTTCCCCTGGGAAGAACA